CCCCTGGAAAGTACAAACTGCCCCCCGCCGACACCTGAGACCCCCTCCACCGGGGCCCGCGAACCCGAAGACACGAATGCGAGGGGCCCGGAACAAGGGCGCGTTTTCCAATGACGTCCGGGAAGGGCCAGCCCGTAGGGACGTTTTTGTCACATTTCGACGCACCAGGCCCCCCTCGCGACAATTTCGACGTGCAGCCACCGTTCGATGCGCGGATCGAACAGCCGCGAGTCGGCGCGCGGACCCTGCACGGAAATCCGAAACGGAAAGCCCGAGGGGGCCTCGTGTCCCGTGCGCCTACAAATATGAGCGGCGCCTTGGGCATTGACGATGCGTTTTGCTCTTTTTGCTGAGGAGATGCTGCTCGACGGAAGCCACGCACCGCAAATGTCGTCAACAGCTCGCGCACCATAGCCGGCACAACCATTCTTCACCGCGCACGTTTCGTCGCACCGACGCACCCCACATGCCCTCGCATGTCCCTCCGCCTACCAAGTCGTTGTCCACGTCATACTCGACGTCGCTTCCGATCTCCTTTCTCGGAAGGCGCGACCGCCACCCCACGCAGCACCCCAGCAAACGCGAAGTGCACGCTCAAAGGTGGACAGAGTGTCGTCACGACAAACGCTGGGGTTCGCGCTCATCTCCACTCGGCAGTTCCACACGGTGAGTGCGCAGGCAGTCAGGATGTATGTTTGCATGTGCGCGCGTGCGGGGAAGGTTTTTTGTGACGATATGCTCGCGCAGATCGAAAGATTTCGTGGCTGCATGTGTGCGGGTGGGCGTGTGTGTGTGTGTGTGTTTGTGTGCCATTGTGTGTTTGTGCATGCTCCATTGTGTGTGTGTGTGTGTTCGAGTGCGTGTTCCTTTGTGTTTGTGTTTGTATTGAAGTGTGTGCCACACGCGCGAGGCAGGATCGTGCGCGCGTCTGTACCTGAGGGGCGTTTGTGTGTGGGCGCCGTGTGTCGGCGTGTGTGTGTGTGTGTGTGTGTGTGTGTGTGTGTGTGTGTGTGCGTGCGTGTGCCTGTCTGTGCATATGTGTTCGCGTGCGTGTGTGTTCGCGCACGTTTTCCGCGGGGAGATGTGCGCAAACGTGCGCGGTCAGGGATGAACGTCATGGTTCGCCCTTCGATTCCGCTTGTGTGTGGATGTGTGAGGATGTGTGAGGAGAGTATCAACAAACGATTGCGCTCGTGCTGTACTCAAGTGGCGAAGCACGGAAGCTCGGATCGAACATGCGGCGGCCAATAACGAAATACAACGTCATCGTGAGCACTTGCCATACCCGATTGGTTTTGTGTGCTGTCCCAATGTCATGTCCGCCGACCTGCCCAATGGATGGTCAATCGAAACACGTGGTGGCAATGTCGACACAGCGAACGCATTCATGGACCAATCGCGAAACACGATGAGATCACTCGCGATCGGATGATTGGTCGTGTCTGCCGTGTCTGCCGTGTCGACGTTACCACCGCGAGTGTGTTCAGATCACTCGTGATCTGATGGTCGATCAGATCCATGACAATATGTACACCACACACGTGATGATCGACCCATCACGAAACGCAAGCCGACCACTCGCGATCGGGTGATAGATGCTGTTTGCTTCCCCAACAACAGCGTCGTTGATCTGCCCGACGGACGATTAACCAATGCACGAGGCGACAACGCATCCAACCGACCAATCACGAAACGACAGAAGATTACTTGCGATCGGATGATTGATCGTGTGTGCTGCACCGAAGATCAACCCGCCGGCGAGCGACCTGTTTATTTACCCACCTGACAGTCCTCGACCGAACCGTTGATCGGTCAGGAAATCTGCCAAGATCAACTGATTGGTCGACAACTCGGTTGGCGATTGCTCTGCTGGTTGATCAACCACCACACCAACCGCCAACCGAGCAGCCAATCAACCAATCAACTGTTCTGTGCTAATTGATCGTGGAGAACGATCGCGGAGAATCCTCAAGGCAAATGATCATGTGCACGATCGAAACCGGCGAACGAAACGCACAACCGATCGGAAAAACATCGATCCCGATCTTCGAACGAATAAAAAGCACTTCGTCACAATCTTGTTGCACATCAAACCTCGTATAACATCAAACCATGCTGCCCATGGAACCTAGCTCCACATCAAACCTCGGCGGGCGTCGAACCTCGTCGGACGTCGAACTTTGGAGGACGTAGGGTCGTCGACACTTGACGGTCACTGAACGGCGAACGTTGAGCACCCACCACCCCATGCGTCGCCGGCATTGTTCTGATGATCGGAACGTGGTCGTTCCAACCGAACTGATCCCGCAATCAAACACCGGAAGAAGTTGGGATCCCGGCGAGCTTGTGCAGCTGTTCGAACACGCTTCTCAACCCCGGTGCGCAAGCACAGGCAGGGACGTGGAAAATTAGAAGTCCACCGGGATCCGAACTTCAAGAAATCGCTGGACGGCGAGTTTGGCAGAGACGTGTGCATCTCCCACGCAATTTCGCCAAGTTCGGATCCCGGCGAACTTCATGCAGCTGTTCGAACACGCTTCGCAACCCCGGTCCCCAACCATAGCCTGGGACGTGTAAAAATTGGAAGTCCGCCGGGATCCGAACTTCAAGAAATTGCTGGACGGCGAGTTCGACAGACAGGTGTATTTCTCCCACACAAGTTCGCCAAGTCGGGATCCCGGCAAACTTCATGCAGCTGCTCGAACACGCTTCGCAACCCCGGTCCGCAACCACTGCCTGGGACGTGGAAAAATATGAAGTCCGTCGGGATCCGAACTTCAAGAAACTGCAGGACGGCGAGTTTGGCAGACAGGTGTGTATCTCCCACGTGATTTCGCCAAGTTCGGATCCCGGCCAACTACAGGTTCCCGCTGGCCTGCGGATCCAAACCTCGCTCGCACTATTCCTTGCACACTCGTCGAGTCCGGACCTCGGCGAACCTCGGATCCGTGATAATGCGAAGTCCGCCGGGATCCGGACTTCTACTGCACGGTTTCTCGCACAGACGTCAAGTTCGCACCCCGGCGACTTCGCTTGTCTCAATGTACGGGTTTCAGAACGCGGGTTTCTAGCTCTCGGGGTTTGGCACAACTTTGTATTTGAAAAAATGTGTAGCCCGCCGGTTGATTCTCTCCCACGTGGTCTCGAGAAGTTCGGATCCCGGCGAACACCCCCCCGTGGATCCGGACCTCGCGTGGCAAGTTCGGATCCCGGCGAAGTTCGCGTCGCGCATGGTGTGGGTACTGACTATGTCCTTTGTCGCGAACGGGTGTTTGCCACAACTTTTATTTTGCAAAAATGAGAAGTCCGCCGGGATCCGTACTTCTCGTGCAAAGGTTCCTCGTCCCATCGTCGGGTTCGCCTGCTGGGCCGTGGATCCGAACCTGCTGTCTTCCTTTCGCAATGCATGTGGCAGGAGATGTTCCTTTCGCAAGTTTGGATCCTGAAAAATTTGCCAAGTTCGGATCCCGGCGAATTTGAGTTGTCTTCCTTTCGCAATGCATGTGGCAAGAGATGTTCCTGCTGGGTCGTGGATCAGAACCTGCCGTGCACGGTTACTCAGACAATCGTAAATTTTCAGATCACGGCGGACTACGGATTCTATAAAATGCAAAGTCCGCTGAGATCCGAACGTCCCGTGCACGGTTCGTCGGAAAACTGTCGACTTCGGACCCCGACGTGGTTTACCTTTCGGGTGGTGCGGGTTCTGACTGTGGACTTCCTGGCGACTGGTGGATTGCCACAACTTTTTATTCGAACGAAATTGAAGTTCGCCTGGATCCGAGCTTCTTGGCAGTTTTGGACGTCGGGTTTGGGAGACAGCTTCATCTTTCCCGCGCAGTCTCGCCAAGTTCGGATCCACGCGAACATGTCGCAGGGCGTGTTTGCGGCTGGCCCGCGGGCCGGTAGATGTGAACACCGACGAAGCCGCCCACCCGAAATTGGATCTTGGGGCATACACTGCGTCTAATGCCATGGGTCGCACATCGCGAGACATGACGCGTTTACGAGTGTCTCCGTGCCCGTGTGTGTCGTCGGGCATGTGCGCGTGGTGTGCAGGTTGCGTGATGGAGGGGACCTTCTCGACACCACGCATCTTCCAGTCGATCTTCTCGAGACCACAGGCCATGAGTGTCGAGACGCACATTCGCTTAGCAGAACCTTTTGATCCTTGTGCGAAATCCGTGCGGCATTTCAACGGTGTGACAACGATCCATGGAGCGACCGCAGAGGATTTCGACGAGGACCCATGGATGACCGTCGTCCTGTGCATGGACGCGCATCTTGACGACTGTGGCGAGGGCAATTGGGACAATATGGAGACTCACTGCCCTTGGGCAAGCCAGTACAAGTTCGCGAATATGTTGGAGTTCGGGGACCTCATCCCACTGCCTGACGCCGTCCTCGGACATAAGTTCCTGAACCATATGCGGAAAGCACTAAGCTGCATTAGCCGCTATTTCAGTCGCCTCGAGTGCCACAACGTCAGGTCATCGCCACAAACTTGGGGTGGCTCGCTGAAACAAGAGTTGGTGGATTGCGCTCGTCGCTGCTCGTTCCTGGACGAGTATCCGCTCCGTGGCCCCGAGATTTCTCCACGAGCTGTGTCGTACTGCTGTGTGCGGTTGACTCTGTCCGGATCTGATTTCGCCAGAGTTCTGTATGTCGCTGCTTCGAACAAGAGCAGGAAACTCGTCGACGCAGTTGAGCACGTGTCGCGCAACGAGATTGTGATTGAAGGGTCCAAATTCGTGCCGATGCGTGGGCCAGAACATGTGGATGGGTGGCCAGATTTGGTGATAGCAGGTCAGGTTCGAAACTATTTGTTGTTTTGTGAGGTTGAGGAGAAAGCGGTTGACATACTGGACTGCATAGGAAACTCCTTGGCACGACCGGGGGTGTTTGTTAGGATGAAATACATGTCCGTTTTTTCGGAGAGTGCATTGGTCGACGAACCGCAGACCCGCGTATACTGATCGTCACTGAATGCTTTGTTTGGCTTTGGTTCACGACGTCGTCCCGGGGAATCCCCAAATGTCGCCGCATCCAAACCGGTCTTTAGTCCTTCTGTTTGAGCGAAAAGAACGGCGAGGGCAAGATGCGGTTGTGCTGCCTAACATGTCAGATTTGTAGGACTGCAGAGAAGTGTGAGACTCCGCAGTTGTTGGTACACGCTGCACCGCGCGCTTGTCATGCAAATCCCTGGTCGTCGTTCGGTTCAGTGACATGACGAAAGTCATGTTGGACGTCCGTCTCTAACGCCGTCTCCTGCCATGTCGTGCCCCGACGAAGTTCGGATCTCGGCGAACTTCGCGTTCTGGGCTCTCCGTTAATTTGTCTCTGATGTCATTGGTGTCGGGCGGGCCGCGGGAAAGACCCGTCACCACGGAAGGATCTGCCCGTAACCGGTTTTCGTCCGTCCACCATCAACATGTGCCAAACAGTCGGTCACTGTCGTAGCGAGATGCCAAAAGCACTCTTAGAGATCCCCGTCGCAAGGTCACGCGAAATTCGCGTTTCCTGAAACCCGTTGGAGATCCCGGTTGGCGGACCCTCTTGTTGGAAATCCCGTTGGCACCGTGCTAGGACACCTTGCTAGGACCCCAACTTTCTGTCTGTCTCTCTCGCAGCCTCCTGAAGTTCGGATCCCGACGAACTTCCTGTGACGCCTGTGTATTGAACGGGCGCTGGGCTTGATGATCCCCCGTGGATTGCGACATGAGTCAAACCCTGATCCACAACTGCTCCTCCAGAGACTCATACAATGTTGTCGCGGCTGCTCGTTCGAACTTGGCTTCATCCAATGCCAAGCTGCGCATATCAGAAGAAGTTCGGATTTCGGCGAATTTGTCTATCTCAAGCGGCTTTTTGTGTTAGTGCGGCCTTTCCAGGTCGTGGTTCAGTCCAATCTGTGTTTGCCTGGCGCCGTCTATGCCTGTTGCATTTTCCTGAAGTTCGGATCCCGGTGAACTTCACGTTTCGGTGGGTGCGTTGGTTTGGCTTCGGACAGGCACTTTTAGTACGGACCTCGGCGAACTTCGCGTCCTGAGCTGTCCGGGTTCCTATTGCTGAAAGGAGGACACTGCCCCGTCCAACGAGGGCTTTTTGCGTCACCGCCCGTCCACTCCCGATCCGGTGGACATCCGTGTTCGGGAAAAAAATGACGTGGTTGTCGCCCGGCTGCATGACGCGTGTGCCCTTGTAAAGAATGATCTCGTTGCAGGTAAGAGGTCATTGCTGGTCTTCTCGTTAGAAGTTCGCCGGGATCCGAACTTCAAGGTCCTCGGATAGCGTCATGTGACTGACGTGTTGAGGGCAAGGTGTGCCTCCCCTGCGTTGTGCTTTAACTGCGATTTGACGCTCGCTAATGTTTTATTTGTTTTCCGTTGTCGTCCGTAGACAATATGTCTTCGTCCAGGGGTGAAGGGGGGCCTGCAGCGACCTCCGGGATAGGATCTGGGAAAGATTCTACAAAACGGTCGTCTATGACCTCGAGGACGTGGTCCGACCACGCTAGGTCTAAATGGTTCGTCGACTGGTGCTGTGATGATGCTACGAACCCAGTCCAACAGCCTTGTGGTCCTGTGATCTTCGTCGAAGCCAACAAGTGCTGCAGGGTTCTGGGGGCTGTCTTGCGGTGGGAGAATGCGAAAGGCAGTCGTCGACGGTCTTACATGAAAAATGTGTACGGTTAGAAGGGGAACGTCGTCGCCGGTGCCAAGGGGGCAGTTCTCGATATGTGTCTGTTCGAGGGGTTCGGAGCGGGTGCTGCGAACACCCCGTTCTACAACGACCTCCGCCGGCAGGGCAGGTTTGTTTTGGGTCGAGAGTTCTTCGACCTGTTGGAGGACACAGGCATCGCACTCGATGTCCCTTGCGAAGTCGGTCCCGACCTGGAACTGTCAATGCCTTTGCAGCCATGCGGCGGTTGTGAGTCGAGCGGGGCAGCGGGGAGGGGGGCGGATCTGGTTTCCGGGGAGGCTACACATGTGCAGCGGGAGGATGCCAGAGGTCAGTTTGATGACAGCAAAGATGAGGCAACACCTCGTCCGCCGTTTTCGCCGTCGAGGGAAAGAGACAGGTCCGTGCTGTCCATACCTGGGATCCGGCAACAGATCGCAGCGGATCCCAGAGAAGAGGGAGTCCTGTGTGGGTCTGACTTGGAGCCCGCCGAGGGCGGGGAGGGAGCGCAGGGCATTCCCTAAAAAAGGAGGGGAGAATGTCAAGAAGAGTTGGTGGGCTCTTCGAAGAAACAGAAGACCAAGACCCCGAGGACTGCGGGAGAGAAACGGAAGGGGAGGGGAGTGGAAGAGGGCCACCTGGGTAGCAAAAGTTCAGCTTCGAAACAAAAACAGCCTGAGTCGGGACCTTCTTCACCACGGCCTGCCATCGATATGGACGCCGGGAACTTCCTGGAGTACAAAGATGGCATCAGGACAAGGCGGGATTTTGAGATCAGCCCAGCTCAGATCGTTGACATAAGGGAGTGGGAGGATCTTTACAACCAGCGGTCGCTAGATCCTGTCCTCGTGGAAACGATAAGGGAAGCAATGCGGTCTGCGTTCAAAAGTAAAGAACAAACGTACGAGTTGCCGGTCTTAAAGCTCGCACCACTGGGCTTCAAAAACCAACTCCTGGGACCAAGGCACAACGTCTGAAGCCGGAGGAGTGGAAGGATGAGCTGGCGGGAGAATACTACTACTACGCGGTGTGCGGGCAGCACAACGCGGCTACAGCCAGGTCGCTGCTCGGCAGGGAGGTGGCCAAGAAGTACAATTTCGAGCGGTGGCCGGCACGGATGGTGTACTTTTCCAACGATGACTTCGAAGGGTATTTCCTTGTTAGTTAACAGGACAACAAGAAGGACCTAAAGGCGCCTCCCACACAGTTGAAAGTTTCTATGAAAGACATTCGATGGCAGTGGAAGCATGACGGCTGCCTGAGAGCTGTGATGGGGAACCCTAGCGGGAAACAAGATCAGGTCCGGGCTTGGCGTAAGTTTTGTACAACGACGCTCCATAAGGCGCCTCAAAACAGCTTGTGGCTTCTCGCGGATCAAAAGGAAGAGGAGGCCATTAAGAAGCAAAATGCTGCCCTGCGTTCTAACTTACCTCTGGCGATGGCCGGGGAAAATGTCTGGAAATTGGTCGTGGAATTTTTTGAAAAATGGGAGACGGGCATATTGCTGAGCCACGATGGGGCGAAATAGACCGTCAAAAAGAAGAAGGTCAAAAACGTAAAGCCTAGTGTCGCCTACATCCACAACGACAAATTGGGCAGAACGGAGGTGGTGTACAACGTCCCCGTGGACCCGCCGAATAAAAAGGGCAAAAAGGAGAAAGAGGAGGGCRATTGGTTCGTGCAAGTGYCAGACCCGGASGYGCATTGTTGGAAAGCAATGGAATCACTCACGGACAATGAGAAGTGTCACGTTCTGAAAAAGGTGCTTGCTTGCGAGGTCGTTTGGGTCCAGGCCGGCTCCCCGTCGTTGACRAAGTTGGGAAAGCTCAGCGTGCAGGACATGGTTCAGCTGGTGAAGTGCGACCGCGTGCTGGTCCGGTTGTGGAATTACTACCAATTCAAGCACGAGAAGAGGTCGGACGTGGACTGGATCCAATGGTATTCTTTCCTGAAATCGAGGTCTGCCGTGTTCAAGAAGTTTGAAGGTCAGGGATTGGATGACGAGTTGTGGGATAACAGCAGGAAACACGTTTTCGACCCGGCGCTGTTCAAGGACTGCCTGCTGTACATGGGTTGCGACCAGGACAACTCGATTGAGGTGACGGAGAAGTTGGCGGGCCACAAGAAGTTGTCCGTCGACTGGAGAAACAACGTTCTCTTCGTGTTGAATGAAAGCAGACTGAAGAGACGGGAAGTCGCACTTGCCGAAGGTGTCGTTCACAATAAATGGAAAGACACGAGGGACGTGACATCCATCGCGCCGTTCGCCAACGACCCTTTAGAGGCGGACATCAGGGGCGCAGAGCTGAAGGAGGCAGTGGCTGCCACAAAGAGCCACACGTTCGTCCTCGATCTGTGCGAGCCGGTTGACCTCAAACTGTGGAAGTCCCAAGCGTGGGAGACTTTGAATTCCTATCTTCAGACGTGGTGTCCCTCGCATTGGACTCTCGTTGTTTTCATGCCGCGGCAGCACAACCTGTCATTTCTCGCCAGCATGCACCATCTTTCTTTCGTTAAGCTGTTGGAAGGGAAGTGGGTGCGGAGAGTGCAGCAAAAAAAAAGCTTCCCCGTTGGGAATAATTTGTACACGGAGGAAGACCGCATGTACATCATCTTCAAGGGTGACGATCTGCGCGTCAACACGTTCGTGGTCTACGAGGGAAACCTGCCCACGGGTGCCGCTGCTGCGGTGCGATTGCCTCAGAGGGTCACCCAGACGGATGTGTCCGAGATTCCTTTCACGCCTTGCAACTGGTCGCTGGTGGCGTTGAACGACAGGGCAGCGTCTACGGGGATATGGAACGCAATCCGACCCAATTCGTCGGTCTTCTTGATTTTCTTGGCAAGAAAGGAGAGGGTGTCGTGTTCCTTGGGAAACCGCACGCACGAAGCGTCTGGGAGCTTCTGAAGGCCGGCCGGCACGTTGTCGCAATGGAAGTGAACTCTGACCTCTTGCAATTCACGATGCAGGTGGTGAAAAGCGAGGTCAATTCGAGTGGGCACAATTGTGAGTTCATGGTCGTGAGGCCAACACGGGACAAGGTGTGGAGCAAGAAGACGGATATGTGGTTCAAGTTGAGCATGAGAAAGAGGAACAAGATATACGATTTCTTGTTCCTTCAAACGCGTCCGAGGAGGGACACTGACGCTGAGTACATCCGCAGGAAGGACCACATGTTGGCACTGCTCGACAACTACCACTTCGCCTCCCGCATGAACGCGAAGACGTTTATCGAAAGGCTGCAGTCGCTGTACTTCGTGGAGTCCGAGGAGCAGTTGAAGTTAGCCGGTTACGCTTCCCTGATCTCCACTGACGACGAGGAAGCCATAGGTGTGGAGTTTGTCACCAACACGAAGGAGGAGGAGAGCAACACGGAGAGCATCGACCTGCAGTACGACCCGCTTCCGGCGGACCACAGACGAGGGTCCTCGTCGGCCGGTCCATCACCAAGCGCTGCAGCCCTCGTGTCACCATTGGCCAAACCGGTGTCGGGCACCACGCGGATGAAGTTGCTTGAGAGACTTAGAGCTCTGGCCGCCCCCCTGCCCGCTTTGCGTCCCGGGTCCGTTGTCCCGCCCGATCATCCGTCTTGGAAGGATGACAACATCCACTTCCTGCTTGAACCGCAACGTCATTCACCTGAGCAGGACTGGGGCCATGACATGGTTTGGCATCCGGGAGTCATCCAGCCAGCGATACGAAACGGCGAGTGGGTCATGACCGTGGCAATCTCGAGCGCGGGATGGGTGTCATTCCCACGCGAGTCGAAGTCCAACTTCCTGCACCTCGCGAGGATTTCGGTCCTCCAAAAAGTGAAGGTCGAAAATGACACTTTAGCACCCGACGACCTATCCCTCATTTTTACTGCCGGTCGACTGTTCGACGAGCTTCAGGACAAGTGCTGGTTGGAATTGACGGAGGACTACTCCGTCGAAGGGCGTGGTGGACTGGAAAGTGCCCCCTCCCAGTGGGCCGGACGGTGGTTCCGGGGGGGGGTCACCTGGAAGCGGAGGGGATGGGGGTGGCGACGCAGGGGGTGGCAAAGGAATCCCGCCTATGGSGGAGAGAGGGTCTCACGGMCGCAACACGACAMCRGGAGGCAGCGCCRGGGTGGCGGGTTTCGCCGTCGACCGGACTCCGTCGACAGGCACCCGGCCCGAGCACACGACACACTCCGCCGACCCCCAGACTTCGTCCGTGGGCTCAGCGAGGGACACGTTGGCAGCCTTGGTTGATCTGGGCAGTCGCTCGGCCGGAAAGCCGAAGTCCGCCGGGATCCGAACTACGTCGGGTGAGGAGCCGCCATAGCGGTCCGGAATGTGAAGCTGCTCGGGGTCGGGGGATCCAAGCATGGATCGAGAAATTCGTAGCATTGCGGCGTGGGACGGAGACGTCGAAACGGTGTCGCCTGAGCGGGAGCGACAGCCGCAAGGATTGCAGCGGGGGGCTGCAAGTGCAGGGTCCGGCGACACGGAGACCACGAACTCCGCCGAGATCCGAACTTCTTCGGGCGGGGTTTGTCGGCCAGGGATTGTCGTGCCGTTGAGAGGGGCAGCGTGCACGGGGACGGAAGGGCGGTCCTCGTGATTCGGCACGGGTACCGCGGAAGGGGACGAGTTTCGTGGGAGGGAAGGAGGGGAGGAAATGGAGGAACAGAAGGGAGCGCAAGAAGGGGAGGAAGAAGGGGAAGAAGAGGTGGAAGGGGAGGAAGCGGGAGAAACGGAGCTAATTGATTTGTTTGAAGGAAGGGAGGGTGCCGGGTCTGGAGAAGACGAAGTGGAACACAGTGAGGACGATGCCGGATCTAGAGAGTCGTCTTACGAGTTCGGACAACTGCACGGAGAGCATCACGAGGATGATGTCGACGACGATGCCACGACAATAGAGATGGAGACACAAGTGGTCAGCAACCTTTCCGCAGAGCCTAAAGATTATGCGGTCCAGCCTTTGACGCCTGTTGTCGACTTGCAGCACCGGTTCGACGAGGCTTCCATCGCTATCAGCCCGTCTGAAAAAAGTCGACGTATAAGCATCGACGAAGTTATCGACGGTATCCTCGGCGACCACAACGTGTGTGCCCGTCCGTCCGCAACTGCCAACGTCGCATCTTCCGTTGCAGCTGCCCTCGCTTCGTCGCCGCCGAAGTCTCTGGTGCTGCAGGCCACCCTTGCCGCCGAAGGGGAAGGCGAGTGCAGTGGAGGACAGCATGTGACGTCCCCAAAAAAATCGAGGTTCGGCGGTCAGGCTCTCGACGTGCTCGCTTTGCCTGCGCCAAATTCACCATCGAAGGAGCGGAGAGAGAAACAGACTGGTAGGCCGTGAATAACGCCTGCGCATCCGGATGTCGCCGGATTACAGTCCACGCTATACACACGACGACTGTCCACACTTTCTGTGCATACGGGAAGTTCTGGATGCCGGCATGCTACAGCCAAGAGCCCTTCCTACTCCAGCTCGTCAGCCTATCTGTGACTCGGCCGGGTTGCTAGTCGAGGGCGGYGAAAACTTCGTCCAAAACCTTACACTCCATCCAAGGAAGGATCTGCCCCGGTTGAGGAAGTGGCCAAGGTGCTAAGAAAGTGGCCAAGTACATGGACTGACAGTTTTCCCTTCTCGGGAATAGTGCCGGTTTTCGTCCGCCGGGATCCGAACTTCCTTTGGCAATGCGTGATGTGGTCAGTCTCAGTGGGGCTGGTGTGTTGAAAAGTCCGCCGCAGTCCGAACTTCGGGGATCGCTGGCCTCCGGCTTCGGTGAGTTGTGGTGGTTTTCCTTTGCGAAGTGCGGGGGGTGATAAGCTCGAATGTTGCACTCGTTTTGTTTTCTAGTCGCACAACCGCACTTGGGTGCACATGACCACGCGAGATTAGGGTCCTGTGGTCGGAGAGGTCCTGATTGACTGTAGGCCAAGGTGCTAAGAAAGTGGCCAAGTACATGGACTGATAGTTTTGCCTTCTCGGGAATAGTGTCGGTTTTAGTTCGCCGAGATCCGAACTTCCTTTGTCGATGCGTGATGTGGTCAATCTCAGTAGGGCTGGTGTGTTGAAAAGTCCGCCGCAGTCCGAACTTCGTGGATTGCTGGCCTCCGACTTCTGTGAGTTGTGGTTGTTTTCCTTTGCGAAGTGCGGGGGTGATAAGCTCAGATGTTGCAGTCATTTTGTTTTCCAGTCGCACAACCGCACCTGGGTGCACATGACCACGCGAGATCAGGGTCCTATGGTCGGAGAGGTCCTGCTTGACTGTTGCGTTTGTACGAATGTATGGTTCTCATTTTTCGTTTTGTCTTTCTTCTGTTGTACAGGGGTGGTGCCGTCTCGAACACGGAGGTCCTCCAAATATCCAGAGCACATATTGCAGAAAGTCCCCGGGTTGAGTAAAAAACACAAGGGATATGTTAAAGGCATCAGGGGTGGATGTCGAGATCGGGAAGGAGTACACCGTTGCCATTGAGAAATGTCTTTCCCTTCTTGCCCCAGAGAAAGGGACATATCCACGATCTATAAGTAGGGGTCAGGCCATGTATGAGAAGTACTTAGCAATGCGTCATGCACCGGGGGACACTGTCTAGAACTCCGTTTCTCACTACCCCACGTGTCCTTTGCTCCATGTTGTGCAGTGCGGGCAACAAGTGCAGCACGCGGGAAAAGTTTCGCTGCGACGATTGCGCCTCTGAGCTTGCGGGTTTTGGACGACATTGTATGAGGCTCGGTGCCGTCTAACACTATTCTCTCTATAGTGGGCGATGGTCAATTTCGGATTGCAGCAAAAGATCTCCTCACCCTCTTGCATGTCAACGGCAGGGTGAATGATGAGGTGGTCAATTTCTATATGGCGTTGTTGGGGTCGACCGCATGTGGGTCACGTGACAGCTCTTCAGGCCTTCAAGTCTTCAACTTTAATTCGTTTTTCTTCAGTAAACTGCGACTTCAAGGACACGGTGGGGTGCAGAGGTGTGCTAAAAACGTAGATTTGCTTCGTTACGATATTATCTTCGTTCCTGTCCACAAAGAAGATGATCACTGGATCCTCGTTTCCGTCAACATGAGAGATGATGTTCTCGAAATTTTTGATTCTTTTCCTCGCATTGTAGTTGATTCTAGTTTTTACCTTAGTGTTTTCGGGTTGATTGTGCAGTATTTGGAACGTCAAACATCACATAGGTGGTCAGGTAGGAATTGGAAGTCCATAGTGGGAAATGTTATGGTGGATGGAGTTCCGAGACAAGTGGATAGAGCAAGCTATGGTGTGTTCATGTTGATGTATGCGATGTTATTGCAACATGGAGATCGACCACCTTTCCCATTCTCTTGTAAAGATATTCCACTTCTTAGACGACAATAAGCATCATGTGTCTTAGAACATCGTTGTCTTTGATGGATTTGATTGACTTCGAAACTTTTTTTTAAGGTGTTTCATTCGTTGATCGTTAAATTTCATAAATCGAGACATTATTCAACTGTCCTTCTGCCCGAGGCATTGCTTTCTTTTATCGTTCCGAGTTCGCGTTATCTACAGCAAGCTCAATGCATGTCCTGCGTCATGTATGGGCTTTGTAATCTATGTCACATAATGTTCCATGTTCCGAATTTTGTTCAAGTTAAAGTATTGTGTTCCATGTTTCGAATTCTGTTCAACGAGAAGTGTAAACATGATTGTGAAACTGGTTGGCGGATGAATGAGAAATGTCATCTTATGTGAAATTGGTCAGTGGATGCCCAAACCTTCTTTGCATGACCATTTAAAATGCGGATATTCATCGTGATGGAGCACAATTTAATATAATTCAATCTAATTACATTGCTAATTTTGTTTACAAAAGTTCAACAACTATGGATGTCAACAAATTTTTGCATTTGGGCCGACTGGGCGGGCATGCCCACGTACAAACACTGCAGCCAAAAATGAATTCGTAAGAAAGAGTACAGTGTTACAATATAGTTACTGTATCTTTCATCACATTTATGAAATTGAAGTTTGACAAGTTAGGATCACGGCACACTTCCGCACAGGGTTCCCTTTGGCGTGTCAATCGTTGTTCGTTTATGAAGTTTGACTAGTATGGATCCCAACACACTTCCCCACAGGATCACCAACATGTTTTTGAAGTTCAACAAGTAAGGATCCCAACACACTTCCACATTTCGGATTTCATTTATGAAGTTTCACAAGTATGGATCTCAACACGCTTCTGCATGTGGTTAACCCCTGGATGGTCATGCCTACGTTGCTTAGGCTGCAGCCAAAAATTAATTCGTTAGAAAGAGGACACAGTATAATGTCCTATTTTAACGAATAACGTGTTGTTTTTCTTTTTTACTTCTTCCCGTTTCTTCTTTTGTTTCTTACTCTGGTTCTTTTTTCGACTTCTCTTCTCCTTTCCTTGTTCCGAGTCTTTTCTCCTCGTATTTCGTCTTACTACCTTCTTTCGTATTTCTCTTCCTCCCCCTCCATCCTCCCCGTAATCTTCCTCTTCTCCTCACCCTGTCTCCTCCTCGCTCCTTGAAAGATAGAGCGTATAGTGTCGGAGTGATTGTTTGCACAGTCTGGGGAGGGTATACATAGTTTCTCTTTCTCCCTGTTCCTTGTTTGGAATAGTTGTACATTTTATGATTTGTGCTCAGAAAAGACTAGGAGAGACAGATTGCATCTGTGGCTTCTCAAAGGTTGTATGAAAGATCTTGGTTTGTTTTTCTTTTTTCTTCCCGTTTCTTCTTCTGTTTCTTATTCCGATTTTTTTTTTCGACTTCTCTTCTCTTCTCCTTTCCTTGTTCTGAGTCCTTTTTCCTCTTACTTCGTCTTACTACCTTCTTTCGTATTCCTCTTCCTACCCCTCCTTCCTCCCCGTAACCTTCCTCCTCTCCTCACCCTATCTCCTCCTCGCTCCTTGAAAAATAGAGCGCATAAGGTTAGGGTAATTGTTTGTATAGCTGCGGGGGTATACATGGTGGTCTGGAGTGTCGAATGTATGAATACTGCATGTAATGATTCCTCTTGAAAAGCAGGCACTCGCCCGACTCCCTTTTCGTCCTGCGCCCTCCTTATGTGCCCACTTACTTTCGGCTAAATCAGATCATCTCGCCCTCACCACAAATGGACATACGATTGGGCTTTACCCTGCCGCGTTTGCAAATCGCCTCCGCGTCTTGCCTATTGCCTGCGGTGTGCCGACATGGTCGGAGCAGTACGGGTATGACGTCTCGTGCCCGTGCGCATCTCAGGACGACGAGTTCCTCAAGCGCTGTTGGGGGGTGCCCCCCCTGACTGCACCGCAGAGCCCTTCTCTGGCGTTCGCTGAATGTCGTTGCATGGACACAGGTGATAGTTGTGGCCATAGGGTACGCCTGCGCTCATCTGAACGATTGGGGGGGTGTTAGTTGTCCTGTCGACGTAAACGGTACGAATTCAATGGGTGCGATGTGACGAAGAAAAAGAAATTGGTGAACTTGCCTCCCTTTCTTGCCGAACCCTTGTAATCCCTCCTGACTCAGCCTTGCTCACCTGATTTTTTCATGTCCCTTGTTTTGTTTGTTTCGTTTCCCTCTTCCCTCCCTCGCGTTGGCCCCTTTTTCCCTACGGATCCTTCCCAAAACTTCTCCTATCCCTTTACGATATCCATATGGTAACCTTTTCCCTCATCCTCGTCCCACTTCCTCGATTCCTCTTCCGCTAACTTTATCCTTACCACATGAACCCCGGTGTGGTTGAATACCCTGTTTCGCTACCGAACCTTGCTGACCACTAAGCAGCCGCCCCCCAAGGAGGCCATCCCCAGGGGATGGGGGAACGATATCACACACCGCCTCACGTGGTAAAAAGCATGCGCCTCCCCTGCAAAACCCACACAAGCATTGCTCACATGTGTCAACCCAGGGGTTACCGATGCTGTCAAAACAAAATGGGACACGGGGCGCTTCCCCCACTTTTTTTAGGTGCTCGGTTTTAGTGACCTTGCTGTCCTCGTGGGGGCCTGGGACAAGGGAATACGCGAATTGGATGATGAGTTGGAGGTTCTATGCGAGAAGCTCGAGCTAAAGAAGGTCAAATATATTAGGGAATGCAGGGAGCTTGCGGGTAGGTCTGCGAAGGTCGAGCTAATCTTTCTCAAGATCTGGGGGGTCACCGTGGATGATTCCCACTTGGAAGGTCGGGTGCCTGAAACCGGACCAGCGGTCCTGCTGATCCTCAAGGCGACCATATCGCACTGTGCGACAACCTTGCGATTGAGGAGGAGGAGAGAGTTGAGATGGAGCGTGCGATTGCAGCCATAAAGGCCTCCACCCAGGACTCTCCACCCACCTTAGGCGAAAAGGGCGACGAATCCTCGGAGCGTGACCAATATACGGTGTTCGTCCCCCTTGCATCCGCTTACTGGGTCGAACATAC